GTCATTCTCTTTAGTCCTGCAGTCAGTCCTATTGAACCGTCTTATGGTGAGCGGGCAGGCGATACGGACTGCTAGCAGTCGTACTGTACTATCTTCTGCCAGGCAGGCAAGAGATGGGGATGGCTAGCAGTCGTACTGTACCATCTTCTGCCGAGCAGCCATGAGATGTGGATGGCATGCAGTCCTTCTGCACCGTCTGCTGCCAGCCAAAGATGTAAAAGATAGATGGAGTGGGTCAAAACAAGAAATAGACCAGATTTGTTTTGTACTCATTTGCCTCCTCCCCTGTCTAGGGGACTCATTCCTCTAGGTCACACTGCAGTCACTCACAGAGAAGGTGCAGCGAGGTAAATCTAGCCATGTATCAATCAGAGGCCAGGCTAACCTCCTTGTTCGAATAACAACGATAACTTAGGTGCACCATTTCTTATTGGAACCCTCCGTGCAGTCCTGCCTGAAATACTCCTTGATGTACAGGCACACCCTTTGTTGATTTTAGCTCCCTGAAGCCAACCCTGTAAGCCGTGTCGTCAGTCGCCCCTCCCTCCGTCAGAGCAACGGCAGACAATCGTTCCGCGCCTTTTTTCTGTGCGGACGCCATACCAAGGCAAGCATGGAGGCCGCTCAGCTCACTTTGGCAATTAGGAGCACATTAACCACCACACGCATTATCCAGCAGTATATGCAGCACCAGAACATGGCAACACGATACCGGGCGAGGAGGCGACGTCAGCGCGGTCACGTGAGTGATCAGGACATGGACACAGATTTCTCTGAAAGCATGGGCCCTGACAATGCATGCATCATGGTGCTAATGGGGCAGGTTCATGCTGTGGAACGCCGATTCTGGGCTCGGGAAACAAGCACAGACTGGTGGGACCGCATAGTGTTGCAGGTCTGGGACGATTCCCAGTGGCTGCGAAACTTTCGCATGCGTAGAGGCACTTTCATGGAACTTTGTGACTTGCTTTCCCCTGCCCTGAAGCGCATGAATACCAAGATGAGAGCAGCCCTCACAGTTGAGAAGCGAGTGGCGATAGCCCTGTGGAAGCTTGCAACACCAGACAGCTACCGGTCAGTTGGGAATCAATTTGGAGTGGGCAAATCTACTGTGGGGGCTGCTGTGATGCAAGTAGCCCACGCAATCAAAGATCTGCTGATATCAAGGGTAGTGACCCTGGGAAATGTGCAGGTCATAGTGGATGGCTTTGCTGCAATGGGATTCCCTAACTGTGGTGGGGCTATAGACGGAACCCATATCCCTATCTTGGCACCGGAGCACCAAGCCGCCGAGTACATAAACCGCAAGGGGTACTTTTCGATAGTGCTGCAAGCTCTGGTGGATCACAAGGGACGTTTCACCAACATCAACGTGGGATGGCCGGGAAAGGTGCATGATGCTCGCATCTTCAGGAACTCTGGTCTGTTTCAAAAGCTGCAGGAAGGGACTTTATTCCCAGACCAGAAAATAACTGTTGGGGATGTTGAAATGCCTATATGTATCCTTGGGGACCCAGCCTACCCCTTAATGCCATGGCTCATGAAGCCGTACACAGGCAGCCTGGACAGTAGTCAGGAGCTGTTCAACTACAGGCTGAGCAAGTGCAGAATGGTGGTAGAATGTGCATTTGGATGTTTAAAGGCGCGCTGGCGCAGTTTACTGACTCGCTTAGACCTCAGCAAAACCAATATTCCCACTGTTATTACTGCTTGCTGTGTGCTCCACAATATCTGTGAGAGTAAGGGGGAGACGTTTATGGCGGGGTGGGAGGTTGAGGCAAATCGCCTAGCTGCTGGTTACGCGCAGCCAGACACCAGGGCGGTTAGAAGAGCACAGGAGGGCGTGGTACGCATCAGAGAAGCTTTGAAAACCAGTTTCATGACTGGCCAGGCTACGGTGTGAAAGTTCTCTTTGTTTCTCCTTGATGAAACCCCCCGCCCCTTGGTTCACTCTACTTCCCTGTAAGCTAACCACCCTCCCCTCCTCCCTTTAATCATTGCTTGCAGAGGCAATAAAGTCATTGCTGCTTCACAGTCATGCATTCGTTATTCATTCATCACACAAACAGGGAGATGACTACCAAGGTATCCCAGGAGGGGTGGTGGAGGAGGGAAGGAAAATGCCACACAGCACTTTAAGCACAGCACTTTAAAAGTTTACAACTTTAAAATTTATTGAATGACAGCCTTCTTTTTTTTTGGGCAATCCTCTGTGGTGGAGTGGCTGGTTGGCCGGAGGCCCCCCCACCGCGTTCTTGGGCGTCTGGGTGTGGAGACTATGGAACTTGGGGAGGAGGGCGGTTGGTTACAGAGGGGCAGCAGTGGCAGTCTGTGCTCCAGCTGCCTTTGCTGCAGCTCAACCATACACTGGAGCATACTGGTTTGGTCCTGCAGCAGCCTCAGCATTGAATCCTGCCTCCTCTCATCATGCTGCCGCCACATTTGAGCTTCAGCCCTGTCTTCAGCCCGCCACTTACTCTCTTCAGCCCTCCACCTCTCCTCCCGGTCATTTTGTGCTTTCCTGCACTCTGACATTATTTGCCTCCACGCATTCGTCTGTGCTCTGTCAGTGTGGGAGGACAGCATGAGCTCGGAGAACATTTCATCGCGAGTGCGTTTTTTTTTTCTTTCTAAGCTTCACTAGCCTCTGGGAAGGAGAAGATCCTGTGATCATTGAAACACATGCAGCTGGTGGAGAAAAAAAAAAGGGACAGCGGTATTTAAAAAGACACATTTTATAAAACAGTCGCTACACTCTTTCAGGGTAAACCTTGCTGTTAACATTACATACATAGCACATGTGCTTTCGTTACAAGGTCGCATTTTGCCTCCTCCCACTGCGTGACTACCCCCTCAACCTTCTCCCCTCCCTGTGGCTAACAGCGGGGAACATTTCTGTTTAGCCACAGGCAAACAGCCCAGCAGGAATGGGCTCCTCTGAGTGTCCCCTGAAGAAAAGCACTCTATTTCAACCAGGTGACCATGAATTATATCTCACTCTCCTGAGGATAACACAGAGAGATAAAGAACGGATTTTGGTTGAATGCCAGCAAACATACACTGCAATGCTTTGTTCTACAGTGATTCCCGAGTACGTGTTACTGGCCTGGAGTGGTAAAGTGTCCTACCATGAATGACGAAATAAGGCTACCCTCCCCAGAAACCTTTTGCAAAGGCTTTAGGACTACATCTAGGAGAACCGCAAATGCCAGGGCAAAGTAATCCTTTCACATGCTTGCTTTTAAACCATGTATAGCATTTTAAAAGGTACACTCACCAGAGGTCCCTTCTCCGCCTGCTGGGTCCAGGAGGCAGCCTTGGGTGGGTTCCGGGGGTGCTGGCTCCAGGTCTAGGGTGAGAAACAGTTCCTGGCTGTCGGGAAAACCGGTTTCTCCGCTTGCTTGCTGTGAGCTATCTACAACCTCCTCCTCCTCATCATCTTCTTCATCCCCAAAACCTACTTCCGTATTGCCTCCATCTCCATTGAAGGAGTCAAACAACGCGGCTAGGGTAGTGGTGGCTGAACCCCCTAAAATGGCATGCAGCTCATCATAGAAGCGGCATGTTTGGGGCTCTGACCCAGAGCGGCTGTTCGCCTCTCTGGTTTTCTGGTAGGCTTGCCTCAGCTCCTTCAGTTTCACGCGGCACTGCTTCGGGTCCCTGTTATGGCCTCTGTCCTTCATGCCCTGGGAGATTTTCACAAAGGTTTTGGCATTTCGAAAACTGGAACGGAGTTCTGATAGCACGGATTCCTCTCCCCAAACAGCGATCAGATCCCGTACCTCCCGTTCGGTCCATGCTGGAGCTCTTTTGCGATTCTGGGACTCCATCATGGTCACCTGTGCTGATGAGCTCTGCATGGTCACCTGCAGCTTGCCACGCTGGCCAAACAGGAAATGAGATTCAAAAGTTCGCGGTTCTTTTCCTGTCTACCTGGCCAGTGCATCTGAGTTGAGAGCGCTGTCCAGAGCGGTCAGAATGGAGCACTCTGGGATCGCTCCCGGAGGCCAATACCATCGAATTGTGTCCACAGTACCCCAAATTCGAGCCGGCAAGGTCGATTTAAGCGCTAATCCACTTGTCGGGGTGGAGTAAGGAAATCGATTTTAAGAGCCCTTTAAGTCGAAATAAAGGGCTTCATTGTGTGGACGGGTGCAGGTTTAAATCGATTTAACGCTGCTAAATTCGACCTAAAGTCCTAGTGTAGACCAGGGCTTAGAGTAAGCAGACCAGGCATTGTCTGCTCTGTTTGATACAGTACAATTTTTACTTGCTGTTGTAAGATACTAACTTTTACATGCTAGTTCTACATATGCATTTGCAGCTGTCTTGTCTTCTTCTGGAACAAGGGACCAGTATCAGTTGCAATCATATCTCGCAAAATGCTAGAGCTGTAAATGCTTTAATAGAACAGTAAAGACACATTTGAAACCAGTGTTTTTTTGGAAAGAGAATGTTTTGATCTTTGTAATACACATGAAGTAAGATGTTTGGATTCTCAGGATTTCTCACCTGTACTAGAGATACTTTAGTCCCATAATGACAGGTTTCAGAGTAACAGCCGTGTTAGTCTGTATTCGCAAAAAGAAAAGGAGTACTAGTGGCTCCTTAGTCTCTAAGGTGCCACTAGTACTCCTTTTCTTTTAGTCCCATAAATCCCTTGGCACTGAGCATAGGGTAATTTTAAGGTTTAAGATTGCCCATATACTCTTCGACAAATTTTAAACATTTCTGCATTACTTTGTGATGGATGGATTGGTGAGGGGAATGGACTAAATGAGCAGCATGTAGGAATCCAGCAGATTAGAGGCAACAAAATATTTACCATGTAACTTCATATTGAATGTTGTAGCTGAAACGGGGTGGTTCTTTCATTTAAACAAGTTAGAGGTGTAACACTCTTCACCTGTGATGGTTTTTTTTTGTTTTGTTTTTTGTTTTACAAATCTGTCTTTAACTTGTACTAATGCGGATTTTTTTGTCTCTTTGTGGAATGACAGATACTTTAGATGAATACTTTGAATATGAAGCTGAGGAATTCCTGGTCTCCTTGGCCTTGTTGATTACTGAAGGTCGAACACCAGAATTTTCTGTAAAAGGTAGAACAGAGGGTTTCCATTGCCCTCCAGCACAGTCAAGTCAACCACTAACATCTAAGCATGAATGCACCGACAAATTGGCCCAGGTATGACAATATCAGTACATGATAAATACCATGGGGTATTCATGGGGAATCCATGGAATCTTCAACTTGTGTGAATTGTCATGCTATATAACTTATTTGCAAATGAACATAACACATACTTGTGTTCTTATACCGTTCTTCTTCTTCTTCTTTGTAGTAGAATGGTATCAAGTTTTTTATTGTATAGAACCATAATTTGCATTAATGGGATTTTTGAGAAAATGTAGACTTTTCCCTAATTTTTGTTGCATTTCTAGATAATCTTGGAAATTTATTTTTCTGTTTTGCTCATTGATGTGTGGATAGGGGGAGTTGGTGCAGAAAGGTTGGGGCTCTTCAGTTCCTAAATAAGAGATGTTGATCCAGAGCTCTGTAAACTTGCACCCTTGGCCATGCAGGAGAATTGCTCCGGCCCAAAGATTCTAACAAGATATTAGACCGCAGAAGGGGGGACTTATAGAGAGTGAAAGAAGAACAAGTAGCAGAGTACAGTTGGTGGGAAGCTCCTCTATATGATCTCGAGGCTTTTCCCCACAAATTCTCTAAATTGCTACATTAGAGCTTTATTATATCTTGCCTTGGTAATGGCTCTGCAGCCTTCTTTGTGATTTGAAAAACTCAGATGTGTTTTCCTGGATTGGGCCCTTAATGCTTTCACATTTTTTGAATGTGCTCTTAAAGCTGATTTTAAATCTAACTAGTATTGTGGTGCTTTTTCTTCTTTTTTTTTTTTTTTTTTTCTTTTTTTTTTTTTTTAAGTGTCGTCAAGCCAGACGAACCAGGTCTGAGGTTATGCTACTGTGGAAAAATAATATTCCTATCATGATAGAAGTGATGCTACTTCCGGACTGTTGCTATAGTGATGAAGGGCCCACCACAGAAGGGAGTGATTTAAATGATCCTGCAATCAAACAAGATGCATTGCTGTTAGAAAGGTGGATTTTGGAGCCAGTTCCCCGACAGTAAGTTTGGGTGTGGAGGTTAGTTAATAATATAAGGTGACTGGATTCTTGCAGGGCAACTGACTGGTTTAGTAACTTGGATTTGAATCCCAAATTATTATTGCTGTTCTTAGAAAATAATTGTATTCTAGTACAAAATTTGGGCTTGATTTTCCACAGCCTAGTACTTTGTGTAATCACCTGAGTAATGTGGCTGTAAAGTTTAACTAAGAATGGTATCATTTTGCACTCACTTTGAAGAGATATAGATATTCTCCACATACGGTGCAAGTTAGTGGAGAATCAGGCCCCATGACTTTTTTAGGATGCTAGATGTACTTCATTAGGACATAAGTCTCCTCCTTTCGTCATAAAGTTCACCAGAAATAATATTGTTTTGTTTCTGGCACTTTGAAAGCCAATTTATTTTCAGTCATTTTAATGCAGGTTGTTTTGATAATGCATAGTGTCTTTGTGTATCTTTTTATAAATTGTGCATTGAACCATAATTTCCTGCAGGATGTTTAGAAAATGTGTGACTTAAAAGTTCAAGAGTAGTGGAAGGAAATTTTGCAGCAACGGATCTTGTTCTGAAAAAATATCATTGGTTTCTAAGATCTTTAACAAGATTAAAGCAAAGCTGCTCTAATTATTTAATTATTTTGCTGTTTTTTGTAATGGCTCTTACCAATACCTGCTTATTTCTTTTAATACATTTTAGAAGTGGAGATCGCTTTATTGAAGAGAAGACCCTCTTATTGGCTGTCCGATCTTTTGTTTTCTTTTCTCAGTTGAGTGCTTGGCTGAGTGTTTCACATGGTGCTGTTCCTCGTAATATTCTGTACAGGTAGGTCTGAGGTAGAAAAGAGCCATTTGTTTGTTCTTAGTGGGTAATTGCTGAATAGAAAGTAGCCTTAAAACAATTGATTTCCCTCCCCCTTTACTATTTACTTTCAGAAGGGATATATGGATTGGCTTTGCTCGTTGTTCGTTCTAGCATTTGGTTTGTGGATTTTGCAAAGTATGACAGTTGCCAGTTTCCTTAATGAATTTTATTTGTCTTATTTTTTTTAATATAATTATTTCTTTAGAAAAATCTGTATATAATGTAAATTTATCCAGAGGCATTTCTGTATTGTTTCAGAGTAAGTGCTGCAGATGTGGACCTGCAATGGACTTTCTCACAGACACCAACTGAACATGTGTTTCCTGTTCCTAATGTTTCTCACACTGTGGCCTTGAAAGTCAGTGTCCAGTCCTTGCCTAGACAATCTAACTATCCAGTTTTGACCTGTAGTATTCACACCAGCCTGGGCTTTTATGAAAAGGGAATACAAGAACATAATGTACATCAGCACTGTGATTCCATTGAGGGAGAGCAGCGCAGCATGTCCAGTTCACAGCGTTCATGTGGAAAACAAACATGGACATTGATTCCTGAAGGCTTGCTTAATGCAAAAATATCCCCTGAATTTACTACATCAGTGAGAAATGTAAAACTTTATCCAGCAACTGGTTTTGGGTCTGCCTATGGGACATCACAGTCTAAAGTCCAGTGCTATAATGCTATGGGGGACAATAAGAAACAGCCACATGAAACATCAGTCAGAACTTTTAAATCCTTTTCTTTGGTTGATCCCCAAGTTCCAAATAGTCAGTGTTCCCATCAGCCCATAGGAGAGACTAATCCTTTGATAGGTTCTTTACTTCTGGAGCGACAGGAAGTTATAGCAAGAATTGCTCAGCACTTGATTCACTGTGATCCATCTACTTCACATGTTACTGGATGTCCATTCAACATGCATGAAACCAGTCCAAAAGTTTTTTGGAATACTTATGAAGATGAAAGCTTGCTGAAAAAAGGCAAGGAAACATCCTCTGTTTCTACTAACATAGATATTATGTTATCAGAAGACTGTAGTGAAGACAAGACAAGAGCAATATCAGAGAACCCATTGGTTGATTCCCATGTTCTTATGAACCACTGTTCTCATCAGTCCATAGAAGAGACTAATCCTTTAATAGGTTCTTTACTTCTGGAGCGACAGGAAGTTATAGCTAGGATTGCCCAACATTTGATTCACTGTGATCCAGCTACTTCACACATTACTGGGCGTCCATTCAATATACATGAAAGCAGTTCAATCACTTCAAAAGTTTTTCAAAGTTCATATGAAGATGAAAACTTGTTGAAGAAAGGCAAGGAAACATCCTCTGTTTCTTTCTCTAAGTCTGCCGTTACCATAAAAGACAGCAGTAAAGTAAAGACTAGAACACCTGATACTCCTCTTACATCTTATAGACTTGATGGTATATTGAAGGCTTCTCCAAAACCCCAAGCAAGAAGAAAACTGATTCTAGCAAAACCCAGTGAGGTTGTCCAAAACACATTTCAGCAGACTCCAAATAAAACTACCAATTCATTTACTAGCATAAATATATCATGTAGCAAAGAAAATAAATCTGAACTGCCAGATAAACTGGAAACAGTTTCTGGTTGTCCACATAAAGACCAAATGACCAACAAAGTCATTGGTAAACAGTGTTCAAATTTCAACACAACTGATGAACAGATTTGCAAAAATAAACTTAAAGAAAGAACAATCATCAGTGAGAATAGCAATGGAGGCTGTTTAATCAATCCACAGTTAGATAAATCCAAAATACTTGAAGGTACAAAAAAAGCGACACTAATGCAGGCATCTGATATTTTGCACAAAAATGAGCTTAAGTATTTAGATAAAGATCCAAAAAAACCAAATATATGTGAGCAAAATACCCAACTTGTTAGTATTGAAAATTATTTAAATAAAGACCATGACAGTTTCAAATGCAAAAATAAGCAAGATAAACTGAAAACTGCACATGATGAGAATGAAGACCCAACGGACTATGAATTTCAAAGCAATTCTCAGAAGAAATCTGTAGAAGACTATTTGGATAGGTGTCAACGACTGAAGAATGCAGATGTGCTGGTAAGTACCTACCTGACAAGAGGGGAGTAGATATCTAAATAACTTAGAGTATATTCTAGATCAACTCTGAAAGAATCTCTAAATGTATAGATGTAATCATACTCTTAGATGAAACAGTGTAGTTAAAATCTCTGCTTTCAGGTCTGAAGATTGGTCTTGTGCTTTTTTTTTCTCTCCTGTTATATTTAATACTTAGAGGGAAACTGCCAGGCCTCACACATCATAACAGAGCTGTTAATGAATATTCCCACAGTCCTACTTCATTTGTCAGACTTCTTGGTTTTATAAATAGAACAATATCTAATTATGCAACATGATGAATAACAAGCGAGTTCGTCCATAGTGGCTGTAAGTTGGCGCCACAAGGAAACTCTTCTTTAGAGAATGCATGAATCTGTTGTACTTTGTTTCCTAAAACAGTAATACCATAGATCTAATTTCTCTGAACCAAGGTATATTCTTAAAATATGCTGCAGGGAAACTGGAAAGACTTTTCAATTTTTGAAGACAAGTGAGAAACAAAATTCAGAACTGAATTTTAACTTGCTAGGCTACCTGAAGTACTTGAGTAAATGTCTTTTACTTACAGAGAATACCACCACTCAAGCATTCAAGTATATGGCAGAAACACAATTTTCACTCTTTGGACGGGACTGTAACCAAGGCTTTCCATCCTCGAACTGGATTGCCTCTACTTTCAAGTCCTGTAAGTTACTATTGGGATTTTTTAGCTATTTTTCTGAAGAAGGATGAAATAATTTTGTATTTTAATGTGTAGGTGTTCTAGAAAATCTGATAAAAGCTGATGATATACCATCTCAATCATAAAGGGTTAACTTTACAACAATTTGTAGTGTAGACAAGGCCCTTCATTTCATTTTCAGTTTTTATTTCCCAAGGGTTTAATAATGTTTAGTTAAAAAATTCACTCTTAAATGTAGAATGTAAAAAGTTTAAGATCGTATATATTTCTGCATTGTTTTTGTAATTTGTTATATCAGAATTGTCACAGACCACAGGATTTGTGATTGCAGTCTTCAAAGTAATAAAATATTATTTTTCCTTAGGTTCCTCAGAGAAAAACACAATCTGGGTGCTTTGATCTGGACTCATCTTTGCTGCGATTGAAATGTTTGTCTACAAGGAGGTATTCATCCTTTTCTACTTACAAGAAAGTGTGGGAGTGTATTCAGTGGAATAATTACATATATAAACTGTAAGTAAGTGAATATGTAAGCAATAACACATGAAGTGAGTGAGGCAAACTAAACCTAGCCAAAACGTGGGTGTAAAATTTATAAGAGCCCTTCTTTAGCAGTATTCTGTCTTCTAAATAGTTGTAACAATTGGGATGAGTTCCTATGCAGTAACACTAGATTTCAGCACATTTCAAATGCACATCAATCAATTAGAGATTTTTAGACCATAATTCTTCCTTTTACAATAAATAATTAGTCCACAGCTCATAATGTAAAACAGAGGGCACTTTAAGTAAGAAAAGAGGTTCACTGCCATTTTGGAGATATATCTGTAACAGCTGGCTCAGCTGGGTTTACGGCTGCATTGAGTTGCATTGCTGGAGACATGCAAAGCTGCCAGAGAAAACTGGTGAATCTATCCCAGAGTAGTTTAGATCAGGGGTGGGCAAACTCTTTGGCCTGAGGGCAGAGGTGAAAGTAAGCCGGTACACCCCGGTACGGTGTACTGGTAAGAGCCAGTGTGCCGTACCGGGACCAGCTTTCCCAGAGGGCAATTTAAAGCCCTGGGGTAGCGGCAGCAGGTCTGTGGCAGGGATTTAAAGTGCCCCAGAGCTCCAGCCCCCACTACCACTCCCCCAGGGCCCTTTAAATCCCCGCCTGAGCCCTGCTGCCCGAGCCCTGGCGTAGCGGCAGCAGGGCTTTGGAGGGGATTTAAAGGGCCAGGGCAGTAGCAGCTGCTGGACCCCCAAGCCCTTTAAATCCCCACCTGAGCCCTGCTGCCGAAGCCCTAGGGTAGTGGCAGCGGGGCTCCGGAGGGGATTTAAAGGGCCAGGGCGGTAGCGGCTGCTGGAACCCTGGACCCTTTAAATCGCCACCGAGCGCCGGGGCTCCTAGCCGCCTCTGCAGCTGGTAGCCTCAGGCTCCCAGCCGCCACTACCGCAGCTGGAGTCCTGGCCCTTTAAATCAAGATTTAAAGGGCCCGGGGATTTAAGGCCCTGCCTCTTCCGGTGGAGGCCACGCCCCCTGTTCAGGACTCCGGCGAACTGGTAAGTCTTCTAACTTACTTTCACGCCGGCCTGAGGGCCACATCTAGGTGGGGAAATTACATACAAGGCCATGAACGTAGGGCTGGGACAGGGGGTTAGGGTGCGGGAGAGAGTGCAGGGTGTGGGGGGGGGTGCGGTGTGCAGGAAGGGGCTCAGGGCAGGGAGTTGGGGTGCAGGAGGTGGTGCAGAGTGCGGGAGGGGGCTCAGGGCAGGGGGTTGGGTTACAGGGAGGGGTGTGGAGTGTGGGAAGGGGCTCAGGGCTGGGGTGCAGGAGAGGTGTGGGGTGTGGCAGGGGGTTCAGGGCAGGGGGCTTGGGGTCCAGGAGGGGTGTGGGGTACAGCAGGGGGATCAGGACAGGAGGTTAGGGTGCAGGAAGGGTTCGGGGTGCAGGCTTCAGCCTGGCACCTCTTACCTGGAGCAGCTCCGGGGTGGCAGCAGTGTGTAGTGGGGCTAAGACAGGCTTCCTACCTGCCCTGGCCCCACGCCGCAGGGGTGGCAATCCTGCGGGCCAGATCCAAAGCCTTGAGGGGCCGGATCCGGCCTGCGGGCCGTAGTTTGCCCACCCCTGGTTTAGATTGATAATCCAAGAATATCTCACATAAGCAAAGGAAGTTAGTTGCCTGACTCCTTTTCTTTCTGAAACATTTTTTTCTTACATTCTGTCTTGTAGCTTTTCAAATTTCTGCAAAGGCATGTGGGATCAGATTTGGATTCTTTTGGTGAAATCTTTGCCCCCTTGACTTTAGCAGGGCCAGGATGTTACCCTTTTAAAGCCTTTGTAGAAATTAAGGGGCTAATTATGATTTCTCATACACTAGTATGCATAACTTGAAAATCTGTTATTGTGGAAGCTAGTTAATGAAGATTTCAAGACATGTTTTCAGGGTTCCTTCCCCACTCTGAACTCTAGGGTACAGATGTGGGGACCCTCATGAAAGACCCCCTAAGCTTATTCTTATCAGCTTAGGTTAAAAACTTCCCCAAGGTACAAACTTTGTCTTGTCCTTGAACACTATGCTGCCACCACCAAGCATTTTAAACAAAGAAAAGGGAAAGAGACCACTTGGAGACCTCTTCCCCCCAAGCCCTAAACACCCCGTTTCCTGGGGAGGCTTGAGAATAATATCCTAACCAATTGGTTACAAAATCATCAAAGACCCAAACGCCTGGATCTTTGAACAATGGGAAAATCAGCCAGGTTCTTAAAAGAAAGATAAAAAGCATCTCTGTAAAATCAGGATGGAAAATACTTTATAGGGTATTCAAATTCAAAACACAGAGGATCCCCCTCTGGGCAAAACCTTAAAGTTACAGAAAACAGGAATAAACCTCCCTCTTAACACAGGGAAAATTCACATAAAACAAAAGATAAACTAATCTGCCTTGCCTGGCTTACCTATACTGGTTGCAATATTGGAGACTTGGATTAGGATGGGTTGGAGAAGATGGATTTCTGTGTGGCCTCTCTCAGTCCCAAGAAAGAACAACCAGGTAAACAAAGAGCACAAAACAAAAGCCTTCCAGCCAAGATTTGAAAGTATCTTGTCCCCTTATTGGTCCTTTGGGTCAGGTGCCAGCCAGGTTAGCTGAGCTTCTTAACCCTTTACAGGTAACAGGATGTTGCCTCTGGCCAGGAGCGATTTTATAGCACTGTATTCAGAAAGGTGGTTACCCTTCCCTTTATATTTATGACACATGTCGAAATAAAACACCTACATACAAGAGAAAAGAATGTTGACACTTTGTTCAATTACTACTGGTGGAATGATTGGACAACATAAATTCTTGTGTTTTCATCTATTTTTAGCATACAAATTACGAAGGCATTGTCCAGTGCAGGTTATTAGAAAATGGGTATATTAAGACTTCGTCAGTATAATGCTTTAGTCATTATTTGTTTGGGACCATAGTTTGTGATGCATCAAAAAAAAATGAATTTTCTCCACTGTCTATATGCATAACAGAAAACAAGTAACGAATAGTATTAATGCCATTACTTTATTATTCCCTTTTTTTGTTAATAGTCCACAACAATATATAAACACAGACAATGACCCAGAAGGCCACGGGAAACCATTTCTGAGTTCCAGTGCTCCACCCATAACAAGTCTTAGCCTTCTAGGAAACTTTGAGGTATTGTATATGATCCAAAAGTGCCATACTTATAATACTTATTTAGTGTGTTATAAAGGGTTAATTATACTTGTGTGAATACCTCCTAAATAATTCCCAATGTTTATTATTAAACTGAGCAAAAAACCCTTTGTTCTGATCTCTACTTACAAAAGCTCCCCAGCCCATCTTCTGTCACAAGCATGAACATTGAGCAAGTGGTGGGAATGCTGTTATTCTTTATATCAGTTTTAAGGGGTCAGACCCTTTAATTGTTAATCTTTATACTAAGATCCTGTGGAAGTAATTAAAAAAACTAGTTTCTCACAATTTGACACTTAAAGCATCATACAAGCTAATGTAAATGGAGTGAGTGAAAATGGTGTATGGCAGATGTTAAGGCACTAGCCTTTCATTTCAGGAAACTTGTGTTTCTAAATTTAACTTCAGTGGCCAGATAGTGTCCTATTTATAGAATGCTAGTTCTAGCTGTGAAATTTTGGTATAGGATTATTTCACTTAAAAGGGCTAAATTGATTTTTATTTTTTGTAGATTTTATATGCCAAAGAAAATTATTGCATAGGCCCATTGGTGTGTTTCAGGGGGTTTTGTCCCATACTTCAATGGGAGCAGGGTTGGGGTTCATATGGTGTTTACTTTTGAACTAATGCCACTCCACTATATGTTTAAAAGTTGGAGGTATGTTTTTGATTTGGTTATGATTTTTGGCCAAGTCCCCTCACAGTAGCCCAAACAATGAAGTTCTTATGCTCACAAATTTCCCATTTGAAGTTACTGGAAGTTTTGCCTGAGCAAGGATTACAGGATTTGGCCCATTATGGGCTATATTATGTCTTTTAAAGTACAACCCTACATTGGGTGTCCTTGTGCCTGAAGCAGGTACAGTGCCTCCCTGTGCCCTGAGGAATGCAGAGAGAGCACAGTCACTGCACTGCCCTTGCTGGCAGTACAGTGTCCACTCCTTGCTACATGCATGTACAGAGTTGGGGCTCTCGTGGGAGAGGCTAATGCAGGCAGCAGTACTAGCCTTGTGGAGTCCTCAAGTGCTGTAAGTGCAGTGGCTGCTATTGTGCCCAAGCCCAGCACATGGCAGAAGAATGGGACAAAGGAAATCTATGCTCTATGTTGTGTCTGTCTTTACTTACACTTCTATTCAGGGGAAAGTCACTCTTGATACCCTTTATTTTAAAAAGAATGAGGAAGATGACTGTGACAGCTGTGTATGATAACTGGCAATAATTTAATTACAAATTAAACTTTACATAGAAGTTTGGCAATAACTTTTTGCTCTGTTTTCTATGCTGTATACTTAACTAGATGCATGTGTGCATTTTGGTCTTTCAGGAGTCTGTCTTGAACTATCGTTTAGATCCTCTAGGCATTGTTGATGGCTTCACTGCTGAGGTGGGAGCAAGTGGAGTCTTTTGCCCTACGCACATGACTCTTCCAGTCGAAGTGTCATTCTACAGTGTTTCAGATGATAATGCACCCTCTCCCTATATGGTATGTGTGTGTTTGATTTTTTTCTACTTTCTTCTGCAAAAATCTAACGGAAATGTCTGCACATTTTAGAGAGTCTGACTAGCTCTTTCTCAGAATCTGTTCTGTATAAAGCAGCTTGAAGTCTGGCGTGAGGGCCAAATATAACACTTTATAGCCACTTTATTCCTATAACTCTGGGATGAGGACAAAGCTGATTAACTATAGGCTTTTGTTCTTAGTGAACTTGCATAACTTAATTTCTCCAGTAAAAATATGCACCTACAAACAAACATTAAGGCTGTGCACTTCATTAGTTGACAGTGCACAGTGACAGTGGACGAGAAGCTGGATATGAGTCAGCAGTGTGCCCTTGTTGCCAAGAAGGCCAATGGCATTTTGGGATGTATAAGTAGGGGCATAGCGAGCAGATCGAGGGACGTGATCGTCCCCCTCTATTCGACATTGGTGAGGCCTCATCTGGAGTACTATGTCCAGTTTTGGGCCCCACACTTCAAGAAGGATGTGGATAAATTGGAGAGAGTCCAGCGAAGGGCAACAAAAATGATTAGGGGTCTGGAACACATGAGTTATGAGGAGAGGCTGAGGGCGCTGGGATTGTTTAGCCTGCAGAAGAGAAGAATGAGGGGGGATTTGATAGCTGCTTTCAACTACCTGAAAGGGGGTTCCAAAGAGGATGGCTCTAGACTGTTCTCAATGGTAGCAGATGACAGAACGAGGAGTAATGGTCTCAAGTTGCAGTGGGGGAGGTCTAGATTGGATATTAGGAAAAACTTTTTCACTAAGAGGGTGGTGAAACACTGGAATGCGTTACCTAGGGAGGTGGTAGAATCTCCTTCCTTAGAGGTTTTTAAGGTCAGGCTTGACAAAGCCCTGGCTGGGATGATTTAACTGGGAATTGGTCCTGCTTCGAGCAGGGGGTTGGACTAGATGACCTTCTGGGGTCCCTTCCAACCCTGATATTCTATGATTCTATGATTAGGCAAGTGTGTTAATATATGCATGTGGCCCTCATGCTCCTAGCCAGTTGCAGGCACACCCTTTGGAGTCAAAAAGTTGATTGACCTGTACTACCAAAGCTGGAAAACTAAAACGACCCCTATCAGCTGTGGTTTAATTAGTGGATATGAACAACAAAGTTCCACTGTGCCTCTGCCCTGCATTTCTACTGTGACAGCAATATTCTTGTACACTTCAAAACCCTATATGCTGAAAAGCAAAAGGGCCTAATATATGCCAGTGTTTTGTGGAGAAATACAGTAGCTTGCCTCAGTTTGTTATAGGCTCCTTGGTAGGAAAAGTTGAAATGATGTGGGTAACAGATCCAATTTTGAGTTACAGATTTTAGTGTGCCTATGGTAAATAAGATCTTTAAGTGCCTATGTAAATTATTTAGCAATTTAGGAGCCCTTCTGAAATCCCATTCTTAAACTAAATCCTAGCTAAATGTGTATTTTCAAGCATAAATCTTAGATAACATGTATTTTTCAAGAACAAGATGTTGAAAAATATGAAAAGGCTTTAAAAAATGAGAGAGAGAGAGGAATCTTTTGGTTTTTCTGTTTTAAGTTTGAGGGGAGTAGTTACATTTTTTTTGCTTGGCTTTTTTTTTTTTTTTTTTTTCATCCTCTCATCTCACTGAAAGCAAACACCTTTCCTTTGCTTTCATCTCCCTAGGATTATTTCATATAGCGGTTTTCAGGTCATGCAGTGGATTCTGGATTCTGGCTAAAGCACCCTCGCTTGTTTTATTAGCTGGACTTCATTGTTCTGATTCTTCTCCACATGCTGTAAATAAATCATGTAATGTTATGGTTGTGCATCACCGAACTAGTACAACATTTATCTATAGCCTTCACTATCAAAAAGATTGTTTCTGTTTTTCTGCCCTGCTCTGCTATTTTGCATGCTCACTTTTGTGCACATAAAACATTGCATACTATCAAACTTGCACTTTAATGCAAAACCTTAACAGTGATCTCAACAGAACAACTTCCCAAATGCATGGAATGAGAGCTGGTCAGATGTGCTGTTCTGTTGGTATAATTGATAAGGTTTTGCATTGGAATGCAAGCTTGATGGGCAGCAGGTTTAAAACAAATAAAAGGAAGTTCTTCTTCTTCACACTGCGCACAGTCAACCTGTGGAACTCTATGCCTGAGGAGGTTGTGAAGGCTAGGACTATAACGGGGTTTAAAAGAGAACTAGATAAATTCATGGAGGTTAAGTCCATTAATGGATGTTAGCCAGGATGGGTAAAGAATGGTGTCCCTAGCCTCTGTTTGTCAGAGGGTGGAGATGGATGGCAGGAGAGAGATCACTTGATCATTACCTGTTAGGTGCCCCAGAGGGAGTAAACCTGGCATTGGCCACTGTCAGCAGACAGGATACTGGGCTGGATGGACCTTTGGTCTGACCCAGTATGGCCATTCTTATGTTCTTATGATGAAATTGGGGAATGTTTTTGATCTGTGTTAAAGAGGGAAGTGAAAGTCATATGGAGTGTTGGAGTTTGTTATTGATAGTGTGGTAAACAATAAGGAGCTGGAAAGAAATGCACAATTCTTTCCCCTTAACTTATTTCCATTTTATCAAAGTCTTGGGTCATTAGTTTGTATCCTACCATAACTTAAAGTGTCATTAAACATAGTTTTTGTTTGCTAGTAGAAGATGGCCAATCCATGGCTCTTTTTAGCAAATACAGTATCTCCAACAACCAGAGATGGGATGCTTGATGGGGAAGGCTATGAGTTACTACAGGGATTTCTTTCCCAGGTGTCTGTCTGGTGGGTCTTACTGATTGCCATATTTGGGGTCAGGAAGGAATTTCTCCCAAAGTTGGATTGGCAGATACCCTGGGGTGGGGGGGTTGCCTTCCTCTGCAGTGTGAGGCACAGGTCACTTGCTGGTTTGAACTACAGTAAATGGTGGATTCCCTGTAATTAGAAGTCTTTGAATCAAGATTTGAGGACTTCAGTAACTCAGCCAGAGGTTATGGGTCTATTACAGGAGTGAGTGGGTGAGGTTCTGTGGCCTGCAATGTGCAAGAGGTCAGAGTAGATGATCATGATCTCTTCTGGCCTTGAAGTCTATGAGTATGATTTGAAAAATCAGAGTTTGGCCCAAACTGAAAATTTGGGCCTGTCATACTGTTTATAATCTTCCAGTTTACAGTTGTAAGATCCATGGTACTGACTGTAATAGCATCTTGTGGATGGAGTGGCCTCCCCACTCATTAGTTCAGTTTAAAAAATAACTGTCAATATATTTAATGCCTATAGTTACATGGATACAACATTCTCATATGCTAATATTTTACAAGTGTTTATATCCTAAACTTGTCATCTATTTTTTTCCCTAAGGGTGTGATTACTTTAGAAACCCTTGGTAAAAGGGGTTATCGGGTACCTCCTTCAGGAACCATACAAGTGGTATGTATTTTATAGCATACAATTGCATAACAGTTCTCTCCCAAACATACACAACTAAGCATTTGCTGCTGCTGCAGCATCAGTAAGTAACAGACTGCATTTCTGCTAGAAGATTCCCTGCTTTTCCACACTAAGCTCTCAAAGAGAAAAAGCACTAATGTTAATTTATCAGACTGGTGGCTATATGTTAATTACTGCCAGGAAAAATGCCACTTAAAGATAAACATGGTTGACCAGTAATGCTTATATTTTCTTGTGAAGTTCTGAATTTCCTTAATACTCAATACAGATTACAAAAGGAGATTTTTAGAGACCTTATTTGCTGGAGAGCTTGTATATGTGTGTTACATTAAACACGTGTGAAATGTATGACTTGTATGGGTGTGTTATACATGCCAAGTGTGCATACAGCATAATAAGATGCATACTAGTGTGTATGCACTCATATATAGAAACAAGAAAGGAGAACACAGTGCATGATGCTACAGTATATAGTCACGTGGCTAAAACCTGGTGCTTTTACATCTCTTAGGTCTGTTAAGAGGATCTCAAGAAAGATCAGTGGATTTTTGCTATGGGGTTTGTTTGTTTGTTTGTTTTTCAGTGGGATGGAGGGCCTTGGATGGTGGGATTAATCTTTATATATTTTAATCATTTCTCACTGTGACTTAACTTTTCCTGGAGCAATATCAGATGCCACCTGTGGACACACCAAAACCACTGGCACCAAGGAGCTCCCTGGTGGAAAAAAAAAATAGGTTATTTGGTTAAAGAGATGTCCACCAGATTGGGACTTGGGTTGCTGAATATGAAGCTGTGTAGGTACTATCATATTGTGATTGTTTTTCAATGCATAAGTGTGTACATGCTAGTAACTCATGGCAAATTCACCATAAATTTTAAACGTATCCCATGAGAGAGTCTGAGGTAAGTTATCCAAGATTCAGGCCCCTAATTTGTAACTGCTTTCTTTGTGGTCTTTAATAATAATAATAATAATAATAATAAATAATAAAAAGGCACAAAAATCTAGTCCATTATCTGAATTTTAATATATTTCTAATTACTTCTGGTTTTCATTATTTGTATCAAATCCGTATTTGTGCCTAAGCATAATATCACATCTCAATATTTCAACAAGCCCTAGTTTTCTATAAACGTTAAAAATTGAAAATTATTAGAACTATACTCCAGAAATTGGTAAGCAAACCAAACAACATAATCTAAAACCAACACTGTACATCTCCTTGATGAATCCAATGCAGGATCACAACATATGAATTCAGGATTCTTTAAATCTGTAGCAGACCATTGTAATTACTGGAAACACAGCATTAAGGTCAGAAAATAATCTAAACAGAAAGTTGACACAAGGAGCAAACAGAAGTTTGTGTTGATTACCAAAGTAGTAAGAGTCTGTCTCTTACATGAAGAACTAGTTTGTGCTTATGACCTCCTTTAATTACGTTAATGTGAGGGGAAAAAATGGACAGTTCAGTTGCCAGTAGCTGAAGTGTAGAAATACAGGCTAAACAGTAATCTTTAAATTAACTTCCTATATAAAACAAGGGAACAGAGCGCACAGAAGCCATCCAGTGAATCTGAACCATAATTATTAATTGGCACACTGAATTCTCATATCTTGTCACCCTTTATTATTCAGTGACTCTATGAATCAGCTTTATTTTCTAAAATAACTGTTTGTCTTTTTCAGACCTTATTTAACCCTAATAAGACTGTGGTGAAAATGTTTGTGGTGATCTATGACTTACGAGAGATGCCAGCCAATCATCAAACATTCCTACGGCAAAGGACTTTTTCTGTTCCTGTGAGACGAGAAGTAAAGAGAAGCATCAATAAAGAAAACATTCGGCAGACTGAAGAAAGACTACTACGCTACCTCATACATCTGAGGTAAGATCCTCAGAGTAAAACAAAATAATTCACTTACTTCAGTCCTGAATTTATAACTGCCATGCAAACAATAGAGCCTTATTAAAAATAGAATGCTTTTAACTTTCTCTTCAGTGAGAATTTGTAGTTAACAGTAGAGACTGTGAGGAAAAATGATAGTAGATAATTGGGACTTTGAGGAGAAACTTGGTTAAATTTAAGACTGTTTCTTGGCATTCCAGCCAGTGGTGCAGTCTTGCATATTACTAATTCCTCTGCATACTGATCCAGACACCGTCTTCGCTGGATAAATGTATCTTTCTCTAAGGTGTCTTACAGTAGGATCCTATCTGTGGTGGTTGTCTAAGTAGAAGCTACGAATCCTATGTGGCTCTTTTTAATAGAGTATGGGATAAAACCCCAGTATCCTGACCCATGCCTCCTGCTCAGTAAAATGGGTTCTTACATGAAAGGCACTCTCTAACCTATTGATAAAAACAAAATAACTGTTTCATTTGTTTACACACTTACTGCACTATGACTTATACATTCTTAACTTTATGAAGAACTTTGGGACGATTGTGTGAATACTTAAAGGCTGCTTGAAACCAAACACTATCTTCTTGTTACTCTGGCTGTAATGAAGGCTGCTATATAAAGCCAAAGGGAGGAATATTTGTCTATCCTGTCAATGAGATGGATGCCAGATCTGATGCACCTTGTCCTTATGCTATTTGCAGTCTTGTACCTACAGCACTGTGGCAAAAAAGACCACCTAGAAATGCAAAGATGATGATCTGATTGCAGCTCTTCAAACTTGATAATAGTTGACACTTTAAGATTAATTAGTATAACAAAATGAAGACTGTCAAAAGGAGGTATAGTGTCCATTATAATTTCAGGTTTAAGCACCAAAAGAGTTAAAAATAAGGAATATTAGGGCCTAATTAAGAAATATTTTTTCATTGCTTTGCATCTTTAACAAAGGTTACCCTTACTCATATCGCAAACTTGCTATCCTCCCATTATTTTGTAATTAATTAATGTAATGCTCATGAATGCCCCTGCTTAGTAGCACCAGTTTTTTCCCAAGCCAGTTTTCTTACACAGCTTTGTGCATCTTAAGTCTAGCCCTGGAATTCCCATAAGTAGAAGTTGACAAATACTTGATAAATTGTATATTGGTTTCCTGAAGTGGACAAATAGAGATCATAATGAGATCACCAAATTTTGAATTGTAGTCTGGATTGGCATTCAGTCGACCAGAGCTCACTAACTCACAGCGCATCACTTAGCCTTTCCCCAAAAATAAACTTCCCTGTGGAACCAGTCCTGAAAAACTGAGCTGAGCCCAGGTAAAAGGGCTTTGCTTACATGAATTGCTGAATCGATGCAAAGGAACTGAGGCATAAAATTCTGAAGTGTACCATAATTGATGGTGGCAGAGTGATTTTTGGGGTGTAGAGGTAGAGGAATAGCAGGTACGGGCCACTTCTTGGTTCCTCTTCCAGTTTAATTCATAGATTTGTGCTTTGCTAGTTCAGTAAGTAAAATGCCCTTTTTTTTCCTTCTCCATGGTCTTGTCCAGGTAGTTGCTGTGTAGATTATACCCGTGTCATACATGAAGATATACAGTCTTCCTTCATAGGCTTCCCCACTACTTAGCCTATCAGAAGGGCAGCATTTCTACTTCATGTGGCCCTAGAATACGCATGTAATTGGGCTCAGCATTTAGATCTATGGTAGGAAAGAAGTTATGGATTTGCCATTGGTGTTCTGCAAAAAAAACCACTAAAATGAGCAATCAGTTGGCTGTATGATCTCATCTATAATGGTTAGATGTTCACCTTGCTGGTGACCATCTGATGGCTATATCACCAGTCTTTTCTGCTTGAGATTCAGAGCCAAATAATAAGCAATTCTAATAAGAGAAATATATGGAGTTTCTCAAAATATTAACTTTAATTTCCAACAGTGTTGAACCATTAGAAGGTATAAAACAGGATACTCTGAATTTTACAGTAGATCATATTTCATGCTGACTGATATGTAAAGATTTGTTAGAGATGCAAGAATAAGCATTTTTACCAATGTATCATTTATATAAAAATACATAAGTTATTTTAAAGCATTTGTTTAAAACAATGTGCCTCCCTTTATATTGGTTCTACCAAAATCATCTATATAAAAAAAGAAAGCACATTAATTTTGTTTTCATAGTTGAAGTTGGCCTGGAAATGTTTGGCTTCTTTATAGTAATAGTAGGTTGAAAACAAGTAACTTAATTTTACTTGCTGAAACTATATATATGTTTTGCTCAAAAAGAAATGAAGTCACAGAACTGTAAACTGCATTGTGGCAGCATCTGTTTGTGAGGTACTAATTAAGGTTATGTCAGCACTTCTATTATAATAGGTTCTTTTAAAGTGATTGTAACTCAGCAAAAACATTTGCCCAAGGCTGAAACTTGACACAGTCAAATTTTTAAAAGCATCCTTTTAAACTTCATGTTTAGTTTTGCTTGTGCAGTTTTTCACACCCATGTTTTTGTGTGTTCAGAAACTCTTGGGTACTCTTACGGAGTATATTTGTACTAGAAGATACAGTATCTATGAAGGCCCAAAATGCAGTTTGAAGAGAAAAGTAAAGCTGCTTTCCTATGCAAAATCTCAGTTGTACCTGCAGTTTTAGAAGCCTTTGAAAATATTTGCCTGCCAAGTCTCAAGCCAGAAAGAATTTTGTATTATATTCAGACTTACAGGGATGTAAGAATTGTGAGTCCAGATCAGACCTAGGGTCCATCTAATCCAGTATCCTGTCTTTGACAGTGACCGGTACCAGAAGCTTCGGAGGCTTCTAAATAGTCAATTAAAGAGTAACCTAGCCACAGCATATCTTTTATTGATTCATTTTTTAATTTACTATTTTAATCCATCCTTTCTAAAGGGTGCCACAGTGCTATACAGTGGAGTTGCATCATCCGCGGGAGTTGGGTTAGGTTAGGTTCTAAAGTCCGCGCGTAAGGCGAAAATCGCGTATCGTCAAAATTACCCTTGAAAATCCCTTAAATTGCCCACAAAGTACAGTATACTGTACATGGTTTTGTGTATACAACCCTGTACAGTAATATGTATAATGTATACAGTAATGTACACTATATAATAGAGTACATATGCAAAATATCATTTTACAGTACTGTATTTTTAATTATGGGGGTAATTACAGGGGGTCATCAGGGCTTGATGTCAGTCTAGGAGATGGAGGTGACAGAGAGCTTGGGTGATGGAGAGTGAGTCATAGACAAAGTGTTTGGCTGTGGTTCAGCTCGAGAAGTTGATTGCGTAGGCTAATCTGCTGCTGGTTGTTTTTCCTTGAAAAACATGGTGATTGGCAACTGTCGCTGTTGTCTCTTGAGCTGCTCAAATATTTCTTGATATGGTCTCAAATCGTCCGTAATACTACGTGTGATTTTGAGGCTTCGTTCCATTGAGAGATTGTATTCAGAAATTAAATCATTCAAGTATTTCGCTGCTTGGAACACTTCAGCAAATTTATGAAGATTCCAACTTGCAGGCTCTTCCAGTTCGTCATTGTTATCTTCGTCTTCTGTGGACGATTTTATCAGTTCCTCTACCTCTTCGTTAGTCAATGTTTCTCTATGACTCTCAATTAATTCTTCAATACCTTCCTCAAGGATGTCGACAAAGCCATCACCACCCACTTCCCTGGCCACCTGAACAATGCGTTTCACTTCTTTGTCAATGGTCGGAAAACCCTTAAAATCATTCACACATTCTTTCTATAGCCAACATGCATTGACTGTTTCAGGCTTGATTGCATCCATTGCCTGTTTAATATAAGTGGTGCAATCGGCAATGTTGAAGGACTTCCAACACTCCATCACATTAAGATTGGGATCAGCATCCATAGTGCTACGTATCTGTGAGAACGTAAGCCTCGTGTATGTGGCCTTGAAACAACGAATCACGCCGTGGTTGAGGGGATGGAGGTGGTATTGGGCGGTAGAAAGACGACTTCAGCATTGTTATGCGCAAACTCCAGCTGCACGGTGGCCAGGAGCATTGTCTACGATTAGCAACACTTTAAAGTCAAGTCCTTTCTCTTCGAGGTACTGCTTGACCTCAGGAATGAAACACTTGTGGAACCAATCCAAAAATAATGCTGCCATTACCCAAGCCTTTTTATTTGATTGCCAGAACACAGGCAGGAGATTTTTGTTCTTGCCTTCTAGGGCACGGGAGGTTTGAACAGCGTGTAGAGGCTAAGAGCCTTTTCTTGCAATGTGTTGCCACATGTTTACGTATCATGTCTGCCAGCCATAAGTTTAATGCCTTTTCAGTCTTCACTGAAGTCTTATCATGCACCTGGCTCATCACCATACCAATTATTGGAATACTTGATGCCCCAGCTTGACGAATTTCTCTCTCTCTCATCTTGATGGCATGGATGCTAGATTTGTTGCAGCCATATTTATGCGCCACGTTGGAGACCGACATACTGTCTCTCAATAAGCCCAACACAGCCAGTTTTTCCTCCAGCGTTGGAACAGATCGCTGTTTCTTCGATTGAGCACCAGATGAAGTAGTTGGCTTGTGTTTAGGGGCCATGTTGTATGAAAAATACGTATCTTTAAACACCTGAATCACGCTCAGCGCAGCGAGATGCTCACACTATGAGAGGCATGCGGGAACTGAGACCGACTGAGGGAACAGTAGATTCACATCTCCCATCTCACGCTCACTCGGGGCATACACTCATTGAGTGGAATGGTGGGCAGAATCGCCCGCACTATTTACAAGTATTTTTCTTGTTTTTTGCCGAGCGCGTATAGTTGAATTCGCATAAGTTAAATGTGCGTATGATGCGACTCACCTGTATATTGGAACACCCCTCCCTTTTGCAAATGGAACTTACTTTAGGTTATGAGTACTATATTACTTAGTGGCTAAGCTGTAGTTATTTCTTGGAACTGTATGTTAATTAAAACTAAGTTGAATAGCCTCTCCTCTTGTGTGCCCAAGAACTAGTTGCTCAAAGAAGTAATTGTTGAAGGTGTTGAGAAATTGCTTCTCTAAATATTATCCTGATATGACATATGACATGTTTATAGGTGGGGAGCTGAAGTCACAAATTATTACTGCTTTATTACACTTAGTTGTCTTGTTGATCTTCTTCAGCATTGCACTCTCAGGATTTTTCCAGATCTGGAGGCTGGTAGTACAGTCCTACTAGGATATTTGTATTTCTCTGATATGGGATTTGTGCTTATATTCTACTGTAAAATCCTTAGAAATTTTAACATACTAGATTTTTTATAATCTTACAGATACAGCACTATATTCCCCCCTTCTGCAATCTAATCTTTCTGTATTTTGAGTTTTGCAAGTGATACAGTGTCCTCTGTATATCATTCTTCTGTGGTCTAGTAATGATTTTCATTTAAGGTCCTCTTGTGCTGCCAGACATTCTAGTTCACCTGTTTTGCTGTTAAGCTTCCTGTATATTGATATCTCTGCAAAGATACCATTTGCCAGAATTTCTGCTGGCTTTAACTTGGTTACTTATCATGACACATTCCTTATAATGGAACTTCCACAGCTCTTCAAGAATTTTACTTAAGGACATAGTGTGAGCTAGGCCCCATCCTGGACATTACACTCTATCCCTGCATGGCGTATAAATGCTGCCTTCCAAATGTTTCAGTCAGCTTCTTTGCTTATTTGGGAAGCAAAGTTCAAATGATAAGGCTATTCAAAATTATTCTTTATGATAGATGTTCCCCAAAGAAAAAGCAGCAATAAGAGTCTCACTAATGGAGAGTAAGAAGCTTGAGGAGTGAAAAAGTGCTTCCATTTCCCCATCTGTAAAACGGGGGAGGGATAGCTCAGTGGTTTGAGCTTTGGCTTGCTAAACCCAGGGTTGTGAGTTCAATCCTTGAGGGGGCCATTTAGAGATCTTGGGCAAAAATTCGGGATTGGCCCTGATTTGAGCAGGGGGTTGGACTAGATGACCTCCTGAGGTTCCTTCCAACCCTGATATTCTATGAACAGAAAGGGATAATACTTCAGAGGGACACTTCAAGACATAAATAATTTGCAGCTGATGCATCTATGTAGTCAACCCACCATTGCCACAATATCTCAAGCGAAGATCCTTCAATTCCCTCTTTAATATAAATCCTAATTCAAATTAGGCACTAACATACTGCACTGCACAGTGAACTACTGCGACCTCATTACCTTATTCTTTACCCACCATGGAAAGGGTCATGTGTACTTATGGCAATATGTTTGTGTGTTCAAATAAACATTGATAATAATGGCTCATAACTTCACAGCAGCCAAGAGCCATGTCCTGCAGCTCCACTGTGGTTAAGGCCCTCTGCAGCCTCAGATGGGGGAGCAGATTTATTCTCTTAAGTACAATTGTGTGGATGAATGATATTATGCCTACTACCCCTCATGCAAATATTGGATAGAGTCTATTTATACATCCTGACTGCCCCCACGCAGTTAAGCTGATGGTTCTGCTACAATAAGAGCCTTCAGCTTTTTTGATACCTCTAGGATTTCACTTTCTTGGTTAAGGCATGTCTATATGTTTTGTCTTTTATTCCTCATTTAAATGGGCACAGTACTTTTATTTCATTGTGGTCACATAGTTAAGGGTTTTACATGCACAAGCAGCAAGAAGTTCAGTTATTGCACCCACAGTAGCTGCAACTGTGTGTTGGGTAATACCTTTTTTGTTTGTATGGTATGGGCAATAGCATTACATTCAGCTGCTGTAAGAATTGTAATTCTGCATTTCCTGTATGAAGCAGAGTGGGGCCTGGAAACTTTCATGTCCTGCACTGTTTCATTTTGCCACATTACTCAACTAATGCATACTTTTATGTGTTCAAACACTATAGCCCTGATTAATTACTTCTAAAAAGTGTGTATAGTTATCATGTAAAGGTGTATCTGTTTTGATGTTTAGAAGTTACAGATAGTTTTTAAAAACTATTTACTATATATATATTTTGTCTTCGTAGGTTCCAGAGTTCCAAATCTGGAAAGATCTACCTCCACAGAGATGTAAGACTCCTGTTCTCCCGGAAATCAATGGAAGTTGATAGTGGTGCTGCGTATGAACTCAAATCTTACACTGAATCTCCAACAAACCCTCAGTTTTCTCCAAGATGTTAGCAAGCAGTGAAAATCAGAGTATTAACTGAATTACCAGATTACTGTTTACAAGCAAAACTTTGGCATGGAATACAGTGTAAAATTAAATATGTAAAGAAATGAAAATAGTGCTCAAGTGAGAGTCAATACTCTTCTGTGATCCTGGACCAGTTTTTGTAAAAGGTTTCTGGAATGAGCTTCGTGTATTCCAAGTAGACTGGAAACATACTTAAATCTAATCTTTTTGTACTGTTTAAAACCACTTCATTGGATGTGTTGCAATAGCAAATTCCCAAGTTAGTTTAGTGTTTACACCTTTTATTTTATTTTTCAGTTATTTAATATTTAATGTTTCATTTAATACTCAAGTGATGTTTGTCTTTAGTGTTCTAATGTAGCACAAATCCTATGTAAAATCATATGTATTTTTTGCATTAATAATATTGAAATCTGAAATATATACAGAAGTCTTTAATTCTGTGTGATGTGTTTTTAAGTGATATTCATTTAAGTTATTGAAAATTAGGATGAAATTTTGAACTTCCATAACATTATCATACTATGCAAGCATGTGGTTTTCCTCGTTTTCTCTCTCTAATTTTGGTGACACCCCATTCTCATTGCTTCCCACACACAAGTCCTCTTACAGCACATTCGGCCATAATGCAGAATGTGTTTCTTTAGCTACTCGCTAGTTCAAATCATTGACCCAGTTCATATTTTGCACCTTTAATTTCCTTTTTTTTTCCCGAGTGGATGCTCTACTAAGAACATTTCTGGTTCTGTTCTAGTTATCAGTATAAAAATGTCATACAAAATTATTATCCTATTCCTGATTTGCTCAATTGTTTAAAAATGTACTGTGAAAACAAATTAGTACTTATATCTTAAATATATGCAAAAACTATTAAACTTGTAGTTTGGTTTTATTTTTAGATGAGGATTTTCATGTACGTTTAAAAGTATATTTGATAGATTTTTTTCCATTTAGGCCACTAGGGGGCTACATAAAGTTGTATATTGTACTGCATTAGCAAATACTGGTAAACACTCAACCAATCACATGAAATACTCTCCAGTACATGTATATTCCTGAAACAAAATACTTTCCCAGATTACAATAGTCATTTTATTTGAAAGCTTATTTTCATGAAAACTGTGTCTCAAAATAATATTTACCTAACAGAAGTACACTAAGTGTTAGTTAAACTGATGTGTAGCTGAGCTAGTGAGAAGCTGTCATTTTTCCCTTGCTTGCCTTGACCTTAAAGTTGTATAACTAAATGTTCTAGTTTTTATTAATGTTGAATACTAATTCTTCCAGTATTTAGCAAAAGCTTTCAGATGTTCATTCCTCAATGAATCTGATCACCACTGTACCACACAGCTTCTTTGACATCAGTGTATCTCTTACTGGTATAAAAAGGACATTTTAGTGTTTGTTAGGAGTATAGTTCCAACGCACAATAAACACGGGAGAAAGGAAGTATTTATTAAATTTTCAGCCCCTTCAATTAGGATAAGAACTCAATACACCTTGCCTGAGACCCTGTAGAAGCCCTCCAGTAAAACCAAGCGAGACTATACTTCCCTGATATTTCACACATTTTCAGCTGTCTTGGAACTACTGTAGTTGCATAGCTTGCAGAATCCAATTTATAACCTTGGAAGGATTTTTTTTTCTGCTATATTAGTGTCTTGAAGATCAAAACTAAACTTCTTTCTAGAGATGTGAGAAGAGCTGTACAAAATCACATTCTAGCTACAGCTTCCAGTCACGTGCAAATCTTGTAAAGGAAGTTGTGGAAAAGTTCCCTGTTAGCAAAACCTTCAGGTGCTGGAGCTGTACTGTGTACATAACTACTTTCTGGAATAGCAATGAGAATGTGTCCTATTTTCTCTGCATCTGCTATTCAGGTATAGAGTATGTTTCAGAGGAGTTAGTGTATGACATGTCATGAAGCATAAATTCCACCACAATAATTCTGTGCATACCTGAGATGATGGAAAAACTCTCATATCTAATTTCCGCATTGAAACAAGGGACACCGTAGATGGAACTCTTTTTTTTTTTTTAATGAAAAGAGGCCAAAGAATCTAGTTATGGTCGATTAATCTTTAGTTGTCCATTAGCAATTATCATATGTTATTTGCAGCTCAGTGTTGGTATGCTACAGTAGTTTAAATGGCTTCATTCTGTCTTTCTTTTACATTTTCCTGAGAAATTTTGGTGTTTTTTAGATGAACAGAGAGATGTGGATCTTTGTTCCATGCTGGTTAAATTGTGAAGTTAGTCTTGTAGAGTAGGCTTTAAATTGACCTAAATTTCACACAGAATTCTAAATGTAGATATAGCAATTTTTCATTTAATACTGAAATCATTACCTAATCCATTTAATATTGAAATGATTGGCATGCTTGTTTTCTACTGTTTATTTGTATTACAGTTGTGCAAACAGGACCTAATTAGATCCAGGCTCTAGTCCGGGGCGGGCGGACTTTTTTGCCTGAGGGCCACGTTGGGTTTCCAAAATTAGGTTTCCAAAATTGTATGGAGGGCCGGTTAGGGGAGGCTGTGTCTCCCCAAACAGCCAGGTGTGGCCCGGCCCCTGCCTCCTATCTGACCCGCCCCACTTCTCGCCCCCTGATGGCTCCCCCGGGACTCCTGCCCCATCCACCACCCCCTGCTCCATGTCCCCTGACCACCCCCAGACCTCCAACCCTGAGTGTTCCCTGCCCTCTGACCCCCCCGACACCTATCCACACCCCTGAACTCCCCTGCCTGCACTGCCTGGAGCACCGGTGGCTGGCGGCGCTACAGTCACGCCGCCCAGAGTACCGGATCTGGCCGCAGCTCTGCAACTGTGCTGCCTGGCTGCCTGACGCTGTGGGAGAGGGGGAACAGCAGGGGAGGGCCGGGGGGCTAGCCTCCTGGTCCAGGAGCTCAGGGGCCAGGCAGGAGGGTCCCGCGGGCTGGATGTGTCTCACAGGCCATCGTTTGACCACCTCTGCTCTAGCGTGCTGGGAAATGTACAGAGTAAGACAGCCACTACCCTGAAGAGTTTAGAGTCCAACAATTCTGCTTGTGCATACAATATTTTATTCTTTTTATACTTATGTAACTTTTTGTTTATGCTGTAAAGTGTAGAACTGAAATTCACCAACTATGCTTGCTTCACTACATGTAGCAGTAGCATAGTAAAAATGCCAGAGTCCAACTCACATTAGCTTCCATCGTTACATTTTCAGAAATGGTGAATTATAGCTCTTAAAGTTTGCTAACGTAATCAAAGCATCAGTCATTAAATGTCTTTTTCCCATTGTCACCCTCTGGAAGTAAAAGATCACAGGTAGTAGGGCCTTTTTCAAAAATGAAGAACTGTCTACTGCTTCAAGCTCTTTTACATAATTTACAATAAACACTGCATGCTTATATAGCATCTTTCAGCCTGAGGGTACTCTAATGCTCTGTAAAAAGGAATCATCTTACTCAGCATCTGAATGTTGCTATTTGGTAAAAACACAATAGTGCTTTACATATCTACTACAGTAAAGTTTAGAACAATAAGTGAGGGCAGGTGGGGTGTGTGAGAGAGAGAGAGACCCTTTCTGTTTGAGGAGTCCGGTGGCACCTAAAAGACTAGCAGATTTATTTGGGCATAAGCTTTCATGGGTAAAAAACCCACTTCTTCAAATGCATAGAGTGAAAATTACAGATACAGGCATAAAAATATATTGGCACATGAAGAGAAGGGAGTTACCTTACAAGTGGAGAACCAATGTTGAAGGCCAGTTTAGTCAGGGTGGATGTGGTCCACCCCAATAATTGATGAGGAGATGTCAATACCAAGAGAGGGAAAATTGCTTTTGTAGTGAGCCAACTGCACCCAGTCCCTATTCAAGCCCAAATTGATGGTGTTAAATTTGCAAATGAATTGTAGTTCTGCAGTTTCTCTTTGAAGTCTGTTTTTGAAGTTTTTTTGGTTGAAGAATGGCTACTTTAAAATCTGTTATTGAGTGCCCAGGGAGATTGAAGTGTTCTCTTACTGGGTTTTGTACGTTACCATTCCTGATGTCTGATTTGTTTCCATTTATCCTTTTACGTAGAGACTGTCTGGTTTGGCCAATGTACATGGCGGAGGGGCATTGCTGGCACATGATGGCATATATCACATTAGTAGATGTGCAGGTGAATGAGCCTTTGATGGTGTCGCTAGAGTAGATATGGAGACAGAGAAGGCAACGGGGTTTGTTACAGGGATTGGTTCTTGGGTTAGTGTTTCTGTGGTTGAAACTGCAAGAGGATTTTAAAGGTGAAGGCAAAGGAAAACAAATTGGCCTTATGCTCTTAGGATGAAGGCTTGTGTATCTTGTTTTATATTTTTTTTACATCAGAAATTCTGATGATTGACAGAACTATGAAATTATTACTTCAAGAGCAAAGACAATGAAAGTAGAGATGGAACAGACATTTTAGTCAGATTGTTACAATGTTCTGGAGAAAGAAAGACTTTAAGTCTGCCAGTCAGCTGAAGTGTAAGACACATCCAGAGCCCTCCCCGCAAAAACAGGAATGACCAAATCTGAGATTCCTGGTTTTTTGAAGGTAAAAAACAAGCACAACAACAATTAACAACCAAACATCACAAACCTTCCATGCCTTCTTTAAAATGCCATACCTAGCAGACTGATGATAATCCCAACAGAGCTGGAAACACTGTAGAGGGCATGTCCATTCTGCCATCAAGCCTGTGTGGCTAGAGGGTGGAAGAATCATACCATATAAGCTCCAAAAAGGTCAGAACTTACTTTTATTTCTGGAAATATAAATTAGTTTTCCAGAAAGCAGATTCACTCTCAAAGGTATTATGTTAATGCTTACAGGGGTCTAGCTAGCTCTGGCTGTTGCTAATGAGCTATAGAGCCTTTCACTTGTAAGTTTCCAGTTTGAATCCTACCTAGCTCAGCAGGGATTAAAAAGTGATCCTCCTATCTAATACGTTTGATACCTCCTTTATGAGATGACGAATTTGGTTAGTCTCAGTTCCAGCTCCCACATCACAAACTCATCACTGCACTGTGGGACAGTTCTTGCTCTTACGTTAGTTGCACAGTGCCCAGCAGAATATAGCTCTGATCTTAGTTGGGTCCTTCAGCAAGACCTCTTATCCTAGCAGCCACAATAGCCATGCTAACTATAAATTTGTCAGAATTGGCAAGGGAAGTTGGGGAAACACCAAAAAGATGACTGAATCTTTTTTTAAAAAAAAACTCCCTATTTTAATAAAAGTGCTTCTTTCAGCTTCTGTTTTCCGCTACTCTCAAGATACAATGCTTTCTGTGCCACAGTACACAAACATCTTAGCTCACGCCATGTGCTCTAGGCTAATAACTAGCACGTGTGTTAGCAAAAATACAAATACACAATAATCAATCATGGTCCATGGAAAGTATATATGTTTACAATATAATCAGTGTTACAGCAGCATTTACTGTGGTGGTCTCTCTCTGGTAGTCCATCCTGATTTTTAGAACAAGGGTGTGATCTGTAGAAACTGAACCATACCAATTAACCTGACCAGAGGCCTCGTCTCTTGGTGAGACCTGTTGTCACTGCAGGCAAAGTGCGAGAATTAGCCCGGCAGAAGAGTCTGTCCTATATCGGGGCCTCTCCTTTTGTCCCTCCAGGCCCACGAACATGATACAGTTCTGGGGTGACCTAGAATCCTACTTTCGATGTCTCTTACTGAAAGAATATTTCCAACACGCCTCTGAACAACACACTAACCACCAGAATCCTTCCTACCAACACTACAAAAAGAAGGATTCTGCGTGGACCTCCTTCTGAAGGTCGAAACAACAGACTGGACTTCTACATAGACTGCTTTCGTTGACGTGCACGGGCTGAAATA